ACGAGAACATTGTTGAATTAAATGAGCATGCTATTGTTGGTCGTGGACTGGTTTCTTTACGCGTAGTGTTCCGTTTGGACGGTTGTGGGGAGTTGCTGTTTGACCATGATTACTCTCAGCTAATAGCGATCCAACACCATTGTCAAGCACATAAATGGCTGTCGCGATCCAAAACCCAACATTCACTCGTCCCAGCAACCATAGAGACAACGAGGAAACTCTTAGGGCCCCTGTGTGGCTACAGGCATATGGTCACAGTAGTAACTTCGAGGCTCCGAGTAGTACCAGCGGAGTGGAGCCTCAGCTGAATAATCATTATTATGGGATGCATGACTCGCAGGAGGATAGTCTCCTTGGAGTCAACATGCAGAGCCGGACTATGGCGTAAGAGGTTGGGAAGTAGTATTTGTTTTAGCTATGATCCGTAGGTCCGCTAATTCCAGTCAAGTTGCTCAAGACTTTATCAGTATCATCAACGACACTGCAATTGATGAGGGGGAGCCGCCCACTGCAGAGGATGACATGACGGCCTCTCAAGCCACTGCGATGATCGAGGAGGTTCTGGCTAGTGGAGGGGAGTCGACTGGTGAGTCCAGCGGGATGGGAGGGTGGCTGTTGTTAATGACGTTGGTCAGGCACGGTCGAAGACATGGTGCAAAGCTCGGATATCATGGCCGGTTCATTGGGAAGAACTGAAGGCTTCCAAATGGCTGCCAGTGCATGTAGGTTTTTCTGACTGCTTCTGTGAGTGCAATCGATATGATGGCGTTTTAGGGACCCCTCTGTTGAACGTGGAGCAAAGCTACTGCAAGATTCTCATCACTCACAAGCAGGCTGGAGCCATTATTGGACAAAACGGCGCGGAAATCGCTGCTTTGGAAAAGGTAAGAAACATATCTCGACTCTTTTTCTATTCATTTTTCGACATCTCAGTCCGCCCAGATCACTGCTAAGGTTTCTCCTGCAACGAACTTCTTCCCGGGAACCACTGATCGAATCATGGGTTATGAGTGGCAAGCCTACGAATATCCGCACTGTAGGCTTCATCTTGGTCAG